TATTACGTGGTCTATGAGTGTACAATTTCCGGTTTGGGGAGAAATTGTATAAGAGGGACCACTTCATATGTTTTGGACATTTGCAGACATTAAGTTAGACCTGTCTAAGAACTCCTGAAAACATAGAGAACGAACATTTTCAGTAAATTTACATAGCGGTCTTTTGATTTGTACATTCATATCCCCAAAAAAGATCACCTACCCTCTCTCTGAGTAAACTGAATACAGGCATTCCAATGCTTGTATATAAATAGCAAAACAGAATATTGACAGGTCATCAGATACAACAATTTCCGCTCCTACTATCCTTGGGTTATCTACCTCAATTTCCTGTACGCGATGACGGGCCTTTCTGAACAGGAGAGTAACCCCGCTTCTTATTACACTACATCTATACCTAAAAAGGTCTATTTCGTAAATAGGTTTTGCGAATACATTATGCCCACCGAATCAAATGTATCAAAAAACCGATAGGTTATGTTCCCGAATACAATGCTCAGATATACCACAAATGTCAGTGTCAAGTTGTTCTAGACAGTTTATTAGGTACGGAGTTCCCGCACTCAACCCCTCAATGTTCCAAGCTTGGTCATATTTGTGCTCATCCAGAAATACTGCGCAAGGAGCCCATGGCCTCAAAACCTCAGAAACGTAACACGCACATCAGCGTCTACCAAGAAGTCGCGCATGGCTGATTCGGAGGCTAAATCGACTAATTCTACGTCTTGCCTCTGATAAACTTGAGTTGGGTTTTGGTGTTGGATTACAAAATGATTCAGGAAAATGCACATGTATCTGCCTCTTGCAATCTTTTCCTTTTTCCTTGACATCGTACACGACATTGTCCGTTCCATCGTTTTTGTGTACTATTCCGTGTTCACTTGTCTTTTCCCGAAGTTCCGTACGAAAAGTATCGAACCGATTCCTGCATTTGACTGTTGGTTCTATAACTTCAATTTCAACTGGATATGCGTCTATGGTTTGAGTACTATTTGACATTTGAGCACTCGTTGTTGTACATAATCCTTTAATATCATTCCTCGCTTCTTTGGTAATATTATTCTCTTTTGTTGATTTCGTTCTTTCGGTTAAAATCTTGACGTAGGTTTGCAATAGATGATTGTCACTGGTTGACATTCCCAGTAAGTTTGTCGATTTGCTGATCACCACTCTTCGCTCTTTCGGCTACCAACCTTACAGATTGTTTAAGGCTGACTATACACATCCAATTGGCGAATGATTTCATACGTCTCACAAAGAAACAGGGAGTAATTACGACAAACCGGCGGTGTACACTTTACTGCTAGCCTGAGGTGGACTGAGAATATGATAGACAGTGGAAACTGAATGCTATCAAATAAATATTTGACATCTGATATAAATTTAGGTAAACGTCCTATCAAACACTATATTTGAAGCGGAAGAGGAACTCGGAAACGTTATAATGTTAATAATACATGATGAATTTCAAGAACAGTTAACTGAACAGAGACTTTGGCAGGTTAATGTAAATTTTGATGAATTTGAGAAAATTAAATTATTTTGAATAAAATGTTAAACAAAACGATTCATTGTGTGTTTTAACTTATTTTATTATTATGTCTCACCATATATTTGGATATGTTGTCGACTTAAAATAAGTAAATCGGTAAAGTTGGTAGACTTTATATCGACAACGTACGTCCGCTATGCTTTTTACGACAACTGACCTTGACTGTGTATCATAATGACTATGGAGGCTGTAACCATCGTCATGCGCATGATGAACGAATCATATCTATAGATTTTTTTTCTTTTTAAATGCAAAAAAAATCCGACATGCGTACTATGAATGAATCCTATATTTGTATCATAATACCTTCGGGGACTGAAAACACATTACCATCGTCCACCATGACATATATATTACTCTGAATTAAATGAACAAACTTCTTGCTCGACTATCAGCTTTAATAAGTTTAATAAGTTTAAGACTGTGTTTCATAATGTTTATGGAGACTATAACCATTGTCGTGCGCACTATGAATGAATTATATTCATAGGACTTTCGTCACTATCTAAATATATAATGTTTCTGACATGCGCCCTATGAACGAATGCATCCGGGAAAAACGAATGTAAACACTTTATCATCGTCCATCATGACATCTATATTACTATGAATTAAAAGAACAAACTTCTTGCTAGACTATCAACTTTTAATTAGTTCATTAGCTCACCTGCCCGAAGGGCAAGTGAGCTTATGTCGTGGTGCGGCGTCCGTCGTCCGTCCGTCCGTCCGTCCGTCCTCGTCCGTCAACTTTTCCTTTAAACAACTTCTTCTGAAGAACGGATAGGCCTAGAGTCATGATATTTGGCTGAAAGCTTTGTTGGTAGGAGCCCAACAAAGAGTGCGAATGAAAATTAGTTTGACCTACTTTCAAGGTCACAGGGGTCAAATATGTCAAAACTTCAAACGACTTCTTCTGAAGAATTGAAAGGTATTGAATCTTCATATTTTGCTGATTGGTTCCTGGGATGGAGCCCAACAAAGTTTTAGAATGAAAATTACCTTGACCTACTTTCAAGGTCACAGGAGTCAAATGTGTAAAAAGCTTCAAATGACTTCTTCTGAAAAACTAAAGGGTATAGAATCTTTATATTTAGCTGGTGGCTTCCTGGGATGGAGCTTAACAAAGTTTGAGAATGAAAATGACTTTGACCTACTTTCAAGGTCACAGGGGTCAAATATGTCAAAAACTTCAAACGACTTCTTCTGAAGAACTAAAAGGTATTGAATTTTCATATTTGGCTGGTTGGTTCCTGGGATGGAGCCCAACAAAGTTTTAGAATGAAAATTACCTTGTTCTACTTTCAAGGTCACAGGGGTCAAATGTGTCAAAAGCTTCAAATTAATTCTTCTGAAGAACAGAGAGGTATAGCATCTTTATATTTGATTGATGGCTTCCTGGGATAGAGCCCGACAAAGTTTGCAGAAGAAAATAACCTTGAAATTCTTTCAAGGTCACAGGGGTCAAATGTGTCAGACACTTCAAACGACTTCTTATGAACAACTGAAAGGTATAGAATCTTTATATTTGGCGTGTTGCTTCCTAGGAGAGAGCCCAACAAAGTTTGAGAATGAAAATGACCTTTACCTACTTTTAAGGTCACATGAGGCAGATATGTCAAACACTTCAAATGACTTCTTCTGAAGAACTGGAAGTTATAGAACCTTAATATTCGGCTGGTTATTTCCTGGGAAAGAGCCCAACAAAGTTTGCGAATGAAAGTGACCTTGACCTACTTTCAAGGTCACAGAGGTCAACAACATTTTAATGGATTTGTTCTTAAGAACTAAAAGGAATGGATTCATAAGATTTGGCTGGTAGCTTTTGGAATAGAGCTTACCAATTTGAGAAGGAAAATGACATTGACCTACTTACAAGGTCACAGGGAAAAATATGTCAAGCAACTTCTGAAGAATCAAAAAGCATAGAATCTTGTAATAATATTTTGCTGGTAGTTTCAACAGATGGAGCCAACAAAGTTTGTGAGGGAAATGTTTTTAGTGCAATATAATATTTAATGATAATATTTTACTATGACTGCTTAAATATTCAGGTGAGCGATACAGGCCCTCTTGGGCCTCTTGTTAAGTTTAAGACTGTGTTTCATAATGGCTATGGAATATGTAACCATCTTCATGCGCACAATGAATGAATCCTATCTATAGATCTTTCGTCACTATCTTATTATGAAATGTTTCTGACTTGCGCCCTATGAATGAATCCTATCTGTGTATCATAATGCCTTCGGGGACATACAATATAGACATTGACATGTGTTCTATACACGTGGTCTCTTCTATCTATAGCATCACCACCTATGACGTACCAAACACCGATAAATCTGCCGTCATTATTTGAATTAGGAAGGATAGGGTGGTATTAATTAAATTATGTTGGATGGGTGGCAGCTATGTTGTCTCTATCTGTTTACTGCTACTTCTGATACACAAATGAAGCCTTCATTTTTTTAATGAGCATATTTTACTATGAATATTTGATAACATCTCGACTTATAAATAATTAGGTGCACAGATGACAATGAATGTTAAAACTTGTGTTAAACATCATAACTTTAATACCAGAAATACCCGTCCAATCCCCGTCTTTACAATTCTTATTTCTAAAATAGTCGCATACATGTTTTTTTTCGGGTATGGTCCATTTTATCAGATTATAGTCAGAAACTATGTTCCTATCGTTCCGAACCAACTAAAACATCAACATGTTGTTTGACGTCAATCGCCTTGCAAACATCCATGTCAACATTGTTGAAAGACAGATATATTTAAGGATTGAACGTCCGTGAGATTGCAGTTACAGCCAATATGAATGCAATCTGGGTGACAGATAACCTCGCTGATCCAATTCTTGGAACAACCGCAAACGGCCATTATCGGACCGAAAACTTTCCAAACAACAGTCAACTGTTAAATGTTCTAATGATATGTGCAGAACATTCTTATACACATACTCATTGTCTGCAAAACCCGTCAAAATGCGACTTGTATGACTCAAACGACAACAACAAGATGGCGGCTATCGTACACATTGATGACGTCGCTGAAACGGTGGGAATGGTTGCTAACATTGACGTCACGGAAACTTTGGTCAGGTGACCAGATAATGCAGACTGCAGTCACTGCCCAGTAACTGCAGGTTGACTTTCCATAGAGTTAATGGAAAATGGGGAGGGCATATGTAATTATACCTGTATACAAATTATAGTCTAGATGCAATGACAAGCAGTTACAAATAGAACATCGCGGCAACCGCATTCGGTAAACAATTTGATTTTTTTTCAGGGACAATAAAAGGGTTTTCAATTGCAGCTGACTTTCTGTATTTTGTTAAGAAAAGCAATAGTTATTGGATATTTAGAAACTTATTAACAAGAAACACATTCTGAGATTTTCATGAAATTAAGGCTATGCTTTCATTTTTTTATTCCAGCGATGGGAAAAGCAATAGACGGCGTGTATGATATGTTTTACTTCAATGTATCAATTCATTACTCGTTCAAGTACAACATTACCCAGTCGAAGAATCTGTCGCAGGTCCGAGACGACATCATGGCGGACGTGAAGGCGCGTGTCGGTCAGCATGATAACCTGATGAGCGTAGTACAATACGCCATGACGTTTTCTATCATCTTCGTTCTTCTAAAGTCAGTATAGCAGTCAAACAGTTTTGTCATTAGTGTATTCATTTGAGTTCAACTATAAATAAAGTAAAATGTATCTCTGTGTAGTTTTCATATCCGCCCTAAATTTCTTATGTTTTATCACACCTTACCTCGATTGTGGACCTTCCAGGTAAATCCAAATCTAGTTAGGATTTTAAATTGATCACATTTTTAAAAACGCAAGATAACTAGAGGAAAAATCCTCTAGTTATCTTGCGTTTTCTTTTCTATTTTCTGGCTTCAAAATCTTGAAATATAATCCTGGTGTTATTTTGAAATAATATCAAAATATTGAAATGTCATACTGGTTTTATTTTGAAATAATCTCAAATATTGAAATATCATCCTGGTTTTATTTCGAAATAATCTATCTAATTATCTTCCATATCTCACATTATTTAACTTTTAAAATTGTCCCAGTGTCAAATCAACCAAACATGGTCTCACGAAATTTATACACATGCATATGTTACAAAATTTTCATGCAATCTAATCAAAATATACATATGTATATATCTTCCATGTCCACAGTTCATCATTTAAAAAATCAAACGTCCCATCTAATTCGACGATATTTTACACACACTATTTATTTAATCATATCAGAAATAAGTTTTGGTTTTCATCAGATTTTGAGAGCCAAAAATTTAAAATTTATGATGTCACAATTAGAACACGGAAATAGTCGCTCCCTATAATGTCATAGTAATCATTTTATAAGCGTTAGCTTTACATGCTTCCCTTTATGGGAAATTCAAATGGGTTCATAGTGCAATGAGCGTTAATGATGCCAAATTATTTCTTTGTGCCGCTTTTCTAGCCTGTCGATAGGCGTTGCTTTGAATCAACCTCTCAAGTGACAAAGATCAACGGAATACGGTTATGTCATTATGGTTTTATGGACGTCATGATGTACACATAAATCACAGCTAGATTTATGATTAGTGAAGGTTTCTAATTAAATGACCTGTACTATTTTTATACGAATTGGTCGCTATTTTCGCAGCTGTCATACAGACAAGAACGTATTTAGTTTACAAACATATTTGTATTTCGTGTAGTACAACATTTGATAATTTACCATCTAACAAATAAGGCATATGAAGCAACATCGCGAAAAATAACTAATCACAGAAAATAAAACAAAATAAGAAATTAAAAATAATTACAATTACATGTATCTACTGTAAAATTCTGAAGCAATCTTATTTCTCGTATATTATTTTCAGAGCAATAATATACCGTAGGAAATACCTTACGACAGACAGGTATGACAATATTTACATAACTCTGAAAGTGGAAAGTATAGACGAGCGAAGATGTGAACACGGGAACGACAGTATACTACCACTGACAACCAAGGAGTCCACCAAGTATAAAAAGACAAGTGCGTTATAAGGAAGTAACCAGCTTTCGGCAATAAATGTACAGGAATTGTTTTTTAGAAACTCTTTGCGCCTATCATCGAAATGCTCGAAGTGGTTAATTCCAAGTGTGGTTGTATCTTATCGCCTGGCTAGAATAGTAATGTAGTAGAATTTGGTATCTGGCAGCTACATCTGTATCTGTTTCTGTATTCCGTCTTTGCGTATTGCAGAGTTATTCCTCCTGTGAGCAGGTATTGATTGTTACGTCAAAGGACGTAACAATCAATACCTGCTCATATGAGAGAAGATACCTCTGCAATACGCAAAGACAGAATAACAAGCTCAAAATGAAACATGCAAAAAGAACCTACTTATGAAATTTGGATTAAAAAAATACTTCGTTATAGATATCGATTACAATGATCACATTGGAAATCTAAGATGGTTGCTTGGTAGCCAAAAAAAGGGTTTTACCGGGAATGATTTTGTTTCATAAATTAGTTTTTTCTAAGTTCACATGCATACTGTCTACTATCTTCTGTTTAAAATCAATAGAAATCAATTCGTAAATATCCTTCATTTAAAAAGAATATTTCTTGCTTTTTTATTTTCATTTTTCGTAATTCCATGAAAATATTATCTTCTTTCATTATAAAATCATCGGCAAATAAAGAAAAAAACATACATTAATGAAAACAGTTTGCTGTCAGGCTCCTTATCCCTAGCGAAACGAGAAAAATCTAAACTGGCGAAAGGCATTATGATGCTCGTCATCAACCTGACCTACGCAAGTTTCTACATCCTCTGTGACTACTGTTTGTACTGGCTACTCGCCCTCCTCCGCCAACAGTTGCAGATCAAAACACACACTGCAGGTAACTATTAAAATGACATACACCATATTAAATCAGTATAATACTGTAACAAATGTATCATGCCTCTTGATATTTCGTTGTGAGTCCGTTAATCCTTTTTTTACCAAACATCCGTTATGTCTGTATTTCATGCTTCGTTATTCTCGATATTAAAAGCTACAATTACTTAATCATAGGAGACTATTCTTGGGACAATTTTATATTGCTTACACTATGGTAAGGATTGAATGGGGCTATGGTCGACATGTATCGAGCTTAGTTGGAATCTTTACAACCTTATATCAAAGGGCGAGTGGTCTTCTCTGGAAGGAGTCCACTCTTATTAAATTATTAGACTTTACCATCTTGTCCCATTTTCTGTTATATAAAAAATTATAAGACCTCGTCTATAACAGTAAAACTACTTTATTATGAGATATTGGTCAAACTAACCTGCACGATGCCTAACCCACCGGAGTGTCACGGTCAGGGATGCCATGGTTGTCACTATTACTATGACGTTATCGAATATTGCGATCGTTTACAAATTTACCTGGTTAATTATATGTCGAATTCCTTATTTGTATGTGCATTTTCCATGAACGGAATACATACACGCACGATTAAGCAAGTTATTAACTTTATTTAAAATAGGAAAGTTATTTAATGGTAGGTTTTGGCAGCAGTTTCTTCTATGCAGATGAACATAACTGCGAAGCTTGCTTTCTAAGTCAGCTTCACGGGTTCACACAAGACCGTTTGCTATTAAAAATGAATATTAAAAATCTTGATATTTTTTCTGTTGAAAGTTCCTCCCCATCTGAAAATTCACGTTCAAGGTGACGGGGCTATGGCCGACATGTATCGAGCCTTAGTTGGATTCTTTGATCCCTTCGTGACAGGAGTCGACATGGATAACACACCTTGCTTACCGAACCCAAGCAAACCCAACATCGCCATTTATAAGCAAATATGTAAGATTACAAAACGTCCTCAACTATTAAAACTGTAATTGAAAAATTGATCTGCTACCCCACAAACCAAATCCCCACCCACCAACTCACCTAATGGCATCATCTGTTCTTCAGACAAATTTATTGAAAACAAAATTTGACATATTTGACCTCTTTCAGTTAAGGATATCAACCATTTCAAAGTTATTGCCCAGAAAGTAAGTCACTAGGACCCCACAAGAGTCAAAACTAATATCATAATTGTGTTCATCTCTTGATGCCCAGCAATGGTATATATGGTAATTGGATGGTGATCTCAACTGTTATAAAGTAATGACCCAATAATTAAGTCCCAAGCGGTGGAACCAGTACCAAAGGCCAATTATCAAAAAAGACTGTATTTATCCGTTTATGCTTGACAAATGTATATATGGTTATGGAGTAGAGATCTAAACCGTTCCAAAGTTATGGCCCAAAAGTGAAGTCCCTTAGGGTTAGCTCAGACTATAGAGTCAATTATAATATCATGACTGTATTTATCTATTTAAGTCTATCAAATGTATATATGGTTAAATTTGACACCTGTGACAGTGAAGATCAACATCATTTTTTCCCCAGCAAATTTGAGGCTCCATCCTAGAAGGGTACACGCCAAATATCATGACGATAGGTCTTTCAGTTCTTCATATCTTACTTGTCCTTCATAAAGTTAAGAATGTATTTACATCAACTTGATCTTCAGAATAGACTTGACTTATGGTAGTACAATTTCTAATACTACTTGTGGATCATATAATTACGTTAAAGTAAAATTCATGTAAATTATTAGCAACATTATAATTGCTATATACCAATGACAATGTCAAGAATGTGTGAGACCATAGTAAAATGATTCCACGTTTCGTTCCAGGGAGTATGTTTTGTCTTTATCTATTCCTGACACTCTTTGAAGCCTATGGTCTACGTTTGCGGCACGTGATTGCCGCTTGTTATTATCCTAGACGTGAGCGACATCGCGCGGTATGGCTGTACAATCACATACTAAAAACAAGGGGCGGCTTCCTTAAAATCACCCGACGACAGATGAAACGGAAGTACCTTAAGAGCACAGAGACGGAAAAGATCAGTATCCGTGGCAAATTGGCTACAAAGTAAGTCATATTACTACTGAATTATTTTACGTCGCGTTACACGAACAGCTCAGATAATTGTTTTAGTTTGTCTTACAGAGAGTATATCCCAATTTTATCTCATTTGAGATGTTACACGTCATTTGATTGATTCATCCAAATAGTTTTCGACGATGAAAACACGATACACTGTTCCTGTTTTCTTATTTGCATATGGCGGCCGGATAGCGATTGTTGATTAAAATCAACATAACATAAGGCAAATTCATTGGTGAAAATGGAAACCTATTCTAGAATTTAAGATGTCTTACAATAAACAAACACTATTTTCTATGATTCTATGTATCTCAAAGACTCTGGCCTCGTCTGATTAGTTCATCTTATTGCTTGGCTTGAAAGTAGTGATCATTTGATATTAATAGTATGTAAATCAATTGTATACTTCACATGTTGATGTATGTTTGAGAGATTGTAGATAAAATGAGTCTTTGTTCAAACCAAGGCTCATTATATGTGAAAGTTCGTATGTGTTTTTTATTTGCTCTTCATTTTGAATTTTGCGAGGTATCCATTGGCTGGGAAGTTGTTCCGATACCTAGGATGGGATAGGAAGTCGTGTATATGTTGTGGCCGGGAAGGTAGGAAAGAGGACCATGAGAACTTTCAACACTGTGTGAATGCCGGGTGTGACGGTAAGATTAGCTTTCTCTGTAAATTATATTCACAACATCTTATTCATTGTGACAATGGTTCATCGAGTTTATTTGTATGGATATGGTGTCTGGTTTGGATCACATATGTATGTTTTATTGTTAATTTAAGGTTTATACTGCACTGTCTGCTTCTCCGACTTGAACAACATGTGTACTGTCTGTATGAACCCAGTGGACTATGGAGACTTTTCCGACTTTAGCGAAGAAAGGTATATTCATAAAAAAATTCATCCGAGCACTTATTTATAATGCAAATCATATAGTTTTGGTACATCATCACAAAGCAGTCCAATGGCAACATTAGGATACTTAATAGCATTCTTGTCTGTGTCAATCAATAATCTCTAAATCATATTTAAATGGGTTGATCACAAAAATGATCTTCATATACCAAGAGGCTCGGTAGTCTAGTGGTATGACGCCGGGCTCGTGGCCAAGTGGTTGCGGGTTCGAGTCATGCCACGGCACTGTGTTGTATCTTTGAGCAAGATACGATACTTTACTTTGCTTCTTCCAGTCTACTCAACTGTAAATGAGTGCGTGGTTGGGCAGTGCTAGAATTGTAGAATGCTAGCTGTGAGCGCCGAAATGGCAGCACCGGCTTTATGCTCCCCAGGGAGTTGAGAAAGATATTGGCTGGTTGCAAAGGCACTATAACCACGAATAATATTTTTTGAACCGCTTTGAGACGACCCACGAACTATGTTGTGATAAAGCGGTATATAAGAACCTCGAATTATTATTATTTTTATTATATATCAGGAGTGTTCATAGATGTATACACATTCAATAGTTAACGATATCAATACAATATACCAAATGTGAAAAGTTATACATGCAGGTAGTTATAGACAATTCCGCCACATCTTCGATATAATCACACTTTCTTTGTATGATAGACCATGTACGTGCATGTATCATTGTACAACAGATCAACGCTCTTCCAAAAACCTCCGCCGCTAATGTCAGCGAACAAGCCGTCGGACTGGTATCCTTTGTCTAATGAGAATACACGCATTTAAAGGGGGGTGGGGGCGTCCAAAATGGCCTCTCTTTTGATTTCAATTTTCTTTTGGTGAGGTGTACACTTTAACCTTATCTCAACAAAAACACTCATTAAAACTCAAATGAGCACTTGAATCGTTTTTCGTAGAGGCATAAAAATGGAATTCTCAAAAGGTCGGGGTTTTTTCCCCCAAAAGACGAATGTTGTCGAACTAACAATGCTTTCAAGGAATATTTATGATGCAACTAAAAACTAGGGATCATATGCTTCAGTATATATGTCAAATTCCTTGCTATGGTGAGTTATCAGATATTTACAGATAAATCAACAGTCAGAAGCCATCTCAAGCAATTCTATTTTGGCCACCAGCCAAATTTGAAAATTCTATACCTTTAAGTTCTTGCGAAGAAGTCTTTTGAAGTGTTTGACACATTTGACCTCTGTGACCCTGAAAGTAGGCCAAGGTCATTTTTGTTCTCAAACTTAGGCTCCTACCAACGAAGCTTTCATTCAGATATCATGGTTCTATGTCTGTTTGTTCTTCAGAAGAAGTTGTTTAAAGGAAAAGTTGACGGACGACGACGGACGACGACGGACGGACGGACTACGGACGCCGCACACAAAAAATTGGCAGTGATAGACGAGTGTTAGTTATGAACAGTGGTAGATATAGACAGATTGCAGCTATAGAAGAGTGGTGGTTATAGACAAGTATCAGTTAAAGAAAAGTAGTAGTTATACACAAAGATCAGTTATAGAAATGTCAGGGTTATATACAAGTTTCAATTTAAAAAACAAGTATTTATAGGCAATTATCATTGATAGAAAAGTAGTGGCTATAGACAAGTATCAGTTATAGAAAAATGGCAGTTATAGACAATTATCAATTATAGAAAATTGGTAGTTATAGACAAATATCAGCTATAGAAAAGATAGAAGAATATGCAAGTGTGAGTTATAAAAAAGTGGTATCTTTAGACAAGTATTAGTTTACGAAAAATGGTAGTGATAGACTAAAGTCAATTATAAAGAAGCTGTAGTTATACACAATTATCATTTACAGAAAAGTGGTATTTATAGACTTGTCTTATTGATAAACAGTGGAAGATAAAGACAGGTAAATGGTATAGAAAAGTGGTAATTATAAATAAGCATTATTTATAAAAAAAGTGTTTGTAATAGACAATTGACAGTTACAGAACAGTTGTAGTTATAGACAAGTGTCAAGTATAGAAAAGTGGTAGTTATAGATAAGTGTCAATCATAAAAAACGGTATTCATAGAAAATTCTATTTATAGAAAACTGATAGCTATAGATGAGTGTAAATTATAGAAAGGTGGTAGTTTTAGACAAGTGTTAGTTATAGAAAATGGTAGTAATAGACAGGTATCAGCTATAGAAGTGTGGTAGTTATAGACAAATGTCAGTAATATAAATTGGTAGTAAATATACAAGTATCATTGATAAAGTAGAAAATAGAATAGTGGTAGGTATAGACAAGTGTCAATTATAGGAAAAGTTGTAGTTACATATATAGACAAGTATTAGTAATAGAAAAGTGGTTGTTACAGACAATTATCAATAATAGAATACTGGAAGTTGTAGAAAATTATCCGTAATATGATAGTGGTAAGTATAGACAAATATCAGTAATAGAATAATGGTAGTTGTAGACAATTATCAGTAATAGAATAATGGAAGTTATAGACAATTATCAGTTATAGAATAATGGTAGTTATTCTATAACTGATAATTGTCTATAATTACCATTATTATATTGCTGATAATTGTCTATAACTACCATTAGTCTATAACTGATAAATGTCTATAACTACCATTATTCTATTATTGATAATTGTCTATAACTACCATTAGTCTATAACTGATAATTGTCTATAACTACCATTAGTCTATAACTGATAATTGTCTATAACTACCATTATCAGTAATAGAATAATGGTAGTTATAGACAATTATCAGCAATATAATAATGGTAATTATAGACAATTATCAGTTATAGAATAATGGTAGTTATAGACAATTATCAGGAATAGAATAATGGTAGTTATAGGCAATTATCAGTTATAGAATAACTACCATTATTCTATAACTGAAAATTGTCTATAGCTACCATTATTCTATTACTGATATTTGTCTATAACTACCATTAGTCTATAACTGATAATTGCCTATAACTACCATTATTCTATTACTGATAATGGTAGTTATAGACAATTATCAGTTATAGAATAATGGTAGTTGTAGACAATTATCCGTAATATAATAGTGGTAAGTATAGACAATTATCAGTAATAGAATAATGGTAGTTATAGACAATTATCAGTAATAGAATAATGGTAGCTATAGACAATTTTCAGTTATAGAATAATGGTAGATATAGACAATTATCAGTTATAGAATAATGGTAGTTATACACAATTATCAGTAATAGAATAATGGTAGTTATAGACAATTATCAGTTATAGAATAATGGTAGTTATAGACAATTTTCAGTTATAGAATAATGGTATGTATAGACAATTATCAGTTATAGAATAATGGTAGTTATAGACAATTTTCAGTTATAGAATAATGGCATGTATAGACAATTATCAGTTATAGAATAATGTTAGTTATAGACAATTATCAGTAATAGAATAATGGTCGTTATAGACAATTATCAGTTATAGAATAATGGTAATTATAGACAATTATCAGTAATAGAATAATAGTAGTTATAGACAATTATCAGTAATAGAATAATGGTAGTTATAGACAATTTTCAGTAATAGAATAATGGTAGTTATAGACAGTTATCTGAAATATAATACAGCTAGGTATAGACATGTGTCAACTACAGAAATGAGGTAGTTATAGGCAAGTGTCAATTATAGAAAAGTGGTATTTTTTGACAAGAATCAGTTAAAAAAAGTGGTAGTTATAGACAAGTGTCAATTATGAAAAGTGATATGTTTAGACAAGTATCAGTTACAGAAATGTGGGAGTTATCGGCAAGTATCAGTTATAGAAAAGGGGTATTTTTAGACAAGTATTAGTTCAAGAAAAAGTGTAGTTATAGAGAAAGGTGAGTTATGGAGAAGCTGTAGTTAAAGCCAGTTATCATTTATAGAAAAGTGGTAGTTATAGATAAGTATCAATAATAAAAAAAAGTGTTTGTAATAGACAATTGACAGTTACAGAACAGTTGTAGTTATGAAAAGTGTCAAGTATAGAAAAGTGGTAGTTATAGATAAGTGTCAATCATAAAAAAACGGTATTCATAGAAAAATATCATTTATAGAAAAGTGATAGCTATAGACGAGTGTAAATTATAGAAAGGTGGTAGTTTTAGACAAGTGTTAGTTATAGAAAATGGTAGTAATAGACAGGTATCAGCTATAGAAGTGTGGTAGTTATAGACAAATGTCAGTAATATAAATTGGTAGTAATATACAAGTATCATTGATAAAGTAGAAAATAGAATAGTGGTAGTTATAGACAAGTGTCAATTATGAAAAAGTGATATGTTTAGACAAGTATCAGTTACAGAAATGTGGGAGTTATCGGCAAGTATCAGTTATAGAAAAGTGGTATTTTTAGACAAGTATTAGTTCAAGAAAAAGTGTAGTTATAGAGAAAGGTGAATTATGGAGAAGCTGTAGTTAAAGCCAGTTATCATTTATAGAAAAGTGGTAGTTATAGATAAGTATCAATAATAAAAAAAAGTGTTTGTAATAGACAATTGACAGTTACAGAACAGTTGTAGTTATGAAAAGTGTCAAGTATAGAAAAGTGGTAGTTATAGATAAGTGTCAATCATAAAAAAACGGTATTCATAGAAAAATATCATTTATAGAAAATGATAGCTATAGACGAGTGTAAATTATAGAAAGGTGGTAGTTTTAGACAAGTGTTAGTTATCAAAATGGTAGTAATAGACAGGTATCAGCTATAGAAGTGTGGTAGTTATAGACAAATGTCAGAAATATAAATTGGTAGTAATATACAAGTATCATTGATAAAGTAGAAAATAGAATAGTGGTAGGTATAGACAAGTGTCAATTATAGGAAAAGTTGAAGTTACATATATAGACAAGAATTAGTAATAGAAAAGTGGTTGTTACAGACAATTATCAATAATAGAATACTGGAAGTTGTAGACAATTATCCGTAATATAATAGTGGTAAGTATAGACAAATAT